ATTTGCTGTTATGTTAAGCTTATATTAAAGTTTTTCTTCATTACCCATTCAAGCCGTCTCCAGCCATTATTAGTCTCAAAGTGGGTTCCTCGTCATCAAATTTTCCACAATCTGTCGATTGACTACAGATATATATATATATATATTTTACCTAATCCAATATCATTGTACCATTTATTTATCCTTCTCAGTTTAAATCTTCACTGTTTCATCAGTAATGTAAAAACATATACATTAAGTATAAGAACCTCACAATGCACTGCTCTAGTTCGTTTGTTGCACTCTTTTTTTTTTTCTACACTCATTTTTTGAATTTTCATTTCCTCTTTCCTTAAATATGGAATTCCTCAGTCCAACATCTTTTTCCTGCAAATTCTGGTTCCTCAAGCAAAACATTATGTCAAATAACAGCTAATTTTTGTTTCCAGTAACATAATTTCCTCTTATTTATTGTTTTATACAAATCAAGATATATATAAGTGATAAAAATCTAGGCTCACTTGGCAGTGTATGACAGGTTTCATATTCGATTTATAGAAAAGTTAGATTAAAACTTTTATTACGAGAGGTCTGTGAGAAAGTAAGTTTATTTTTTGGTCAAATTGTCTGGAATTGTTTTTGAAGTACCTTACAAGGTTAAGAGATACTATATTTTACATCCTCTTTTCTTTAGACATTAAAATAAGCATAACTGATGCATTATATTTATAAATGAAAATATATATGCACACAATTACACACATCATGTGTATGTACAACACAAAACTCACAGAAAAAACTTGTCTAGAGAGCATTCTCATTTCCAGGAATTTATATTGTTAAACGTAAAACAAAACTTACCTCTGAAAAGCACTCTCATCCCCCACAAATTTATGTTGCTAACATTAAAGTGAAACTGATCTCTGAGGAGCACTCTCATACTCAGGATTTTATGTTGTTAAGCATAAATCAAAACTCACCTCTGGAGAGCACTCTCGTCCCCAGGGCTATTTCCAGAGCTTGGACGCTGAGAAGTTAGTGCCTCCCAAATCGTGACCTGCAAACAAACAGAAGCCTAATTATCATAATGTATACAACCTCTTATAAATTAAGTGTGACAACATTTTCATTAAAATATATATCATAAAAAAAACACTATCCATACTTTATTCTCCTTACCTGATCCTCTTCACTACATCATCTTTACCTAATACTCCTTACTACACTATCCTTACCTGTTCCTTCCTGCAACATTATCCTTACCTGATCAATTGACCTTGTAACATTATCCTTATCTAATCTTCATCACTACATCATTCTTACCTGATCCTCTTCACTACATCATCTTTACCTAATACTCCTTACTACACTATCCTTACCTGTTCCTTCCTGCAACATTATCCTTACCTGATCAATTGACCTTGTAACATTATCCTTATCTAATCTTCATCACTACATCATTCTTACCTGATCCTCCTCACTACCTGCCTCAATGAGGGAATGTTGTATTGCGAGCTGGAGGAGCTCATCATCCTCGTCGATGCTAAGCTGTCTGACTTCGTCACTTCCTATGACAAAAATTAGTTATTAATAAAACTTTTTCTATAAACATAAGTTTTAAAACTACATAAAATTAGTATTTATATAGAAATGAGACACACATTCCTATATTAGCTTTAAAGATATAAGCATTATCTGATTAAAAAATATTACAAATGAACATTGAAAAAAAAGAAGCTATTATATGACTTTAAAATAGGAGAATTCAAATACTGAAAAATAGCTATAAAGCAATATACAATATCAAAATATCATAAATGATATAAACAAAGCCGATGTCTACAAACACATAAGAAGCAAACCAAATTCAATATCTTAACTGTAATATAATCAATTATTTACTTCTAATATTAGAAAGAAACCTAATTCATACACATCAAGAACTATATTAAACACACATTAACAGTTTAAAGGACTAATGAAAACATATTAGTCAAATGTGTACTATTTCAAAAAAAATGACTATAACAGTAACCAGCTTAACAAAGAATATCAAACAATATCCAGGCAAATTTAACACTGTTACAGGTGTATGACAATACCTAGACAAACTTGCCACTGTTACAAAAGATGTTTGACAATGGCCAAGTAAACCATTCATATCGAAAGTCTGACAAAAGCTAAGCAAACTTAACCCTTCATGGGGAATAAGGTGTTAAAATTAGTTGAATACAGATGAAAAATTGTCAACTGAATATTAATTGTACTTTCTGTAAATAAATAACATATAAAAACATCAAAATTCTTGTAATTTTGTCATTTTTGGAGGTCTTTGTACATCAATATTGTCATAATCGAATCTTTTTTGAAGGTCTATGTACTTCTTTTCAGACAACCAATACAGACTTCCAGCTCTAATACAGGTCAAGTTGTCAGAAGGACAACCTGGAAATTTCCTTAAGATCTAGCCCTGAGTTGCATTTAAAGTTATGTTGTGGTTAGCAGAAGAGAATATTTCAGTAACCAAATATGAGTCTGCTAAAGTTACTTGAGGAACTCAGTTGTCGGTACGTGTAGGCCTGTTATTCATAAAGAACTTGATAATAAACTGCTGAGATCCCCATATGTTAGCATTTTATGTAATCAGATCACTGATATTGGAATTAAGAAGTTGGTTGTATACAGCAGGATTTTAGATCCAGAATCATTCAAGCCCTCAACTAACTTTCTGTGCAACTTAGAGGTTCAGAGTGTAACAGGTAAAGCTATTCATGAAGAACATTCAGGTGTTATGAATACAGGGTAGCTTTCTCCTTCCAAAGTAATGGGGCTTGGTAGTGATGGAACTAAAGTTATGACAGGGACAGGTGAAGGTGTCACTGGGTACATGCTTACACAAAACCCAAAGGTGTTGAACTAACACTGCATTGTGTATCACTTAGCATTGGTGATCATCCCAAACAGCAGACGAAGTTCCCTACTTATTTGAATACCATACTGACCGGTATGTTTATTTTTTAAAACATCATCCATTTCTACTACAAGACTTACAGATATTTAGAGTTTGCTTAGTGAGCTAACACTGAAATTAAAGAGGTCCATGAAGTGAGATGGTTGTCTGTCTGACTCTACAAACTGTGTACAAATATTTAGGGCCAAAACATGTCTCAGTATGAGTTCATAGCCACAACATGCTAATGGACATTTTACCAGTTGTCTCAGAGTTACATCTTGTGTTTCAAAAAATCTGACCTGAATGTTAACTTAGTTCAAGTTTCAGTGAAGTACTGCAAAAATGCTTTAAATAAGACAAAGAGTGGTGAAGTGGAGTATGATATCTACCTCTATCAGTACAAAATTATCATCTGACTGCAAGTGAAAAGGGAAAGCTTACATTTAAAGGGAACCACATTGTGCAAGGTCAACAAAATATTGACTCTATCAGAGAGAAATGTGTTGATGCAATCTTACAGAAAATGTATCAAAAATTTCCAAATGATGAGAGTAATATCGTGTATGCCTTTGGTGTGCTTTCAATGAGACCAACATCATTCTGTTTTTTGAAGGACCTTCGGATGTTGGGTAATAAACAGCTTGAATCAGTTGAATTCAATTGCTTCCATCCACACTACTGTCTGTGAATGTGGATTCAGTCACTCCCATCCACACTGCTGACTGTGAATGTGGATTCAGTTGTTCCCATCCACACTGTTGACTGTGAATGTGAATTCAATGCACAATATCAAGTTAAGACAGCAGACAGAAATAGAATGTCATCTAAGAAAGTGGATGACCTTCTGATGATCAAACTAAAAGGTGGCCCAACTGAACAGTTTGACTTCAGTGCTGCATTAAATCACTGGAGAAATGCCAAACAGAAGAAGATAAATAGATGTGATGTGATTCATAATCTTGATTACTGTTTCATGATTTTGAGAAGTTGCAGTGTTTAACTGTTTAAAAAGTTTTTATCTATCAGCATAGCTACAAGTTTAGTGTTCAGTTTTAAGTCTGACATTTTATGATAATCTGTCATCGAAACTTTTAACCTTCTCCACACGGGTCAAAGGCCATGTCATCACATTTGTTGATTCACATTCACAATATTATTGAACTATTATTTTATGAATTTATGTTAATAAGTTTGGGATCAAATTGTAGATGATAATTATAGTATTATATGTTGTTAAATTTCTTAATTTAAAAGTAAATATTAAAAAAACACACCTAAATATTGATTTTTGTGTGTCACATAGTATGTTAAATGCAGCACTGGTTCAAATTAGATGTTTGAGATGTATAAATACAAAGTCTATAGTTTCTTATGAATTAAGAACTCAAATTACTGATATTGACAAGGTATGATATAAAATATCGTATCTTTTCTATTTGCTGAGATATCACCCGTGTAATGAATCAAAACACATTTTTGGAAACACTTCTTCATATACAATTACTACTGTCTATGACATGTGAACAACTAATCGAAAGCTCAGAATGTCCCCCTAGTGGCTTTCTCAGCCCTTTTCAAGTATTATGACATTAACTCATTCTTTCAATACAAAACCTCAAGCTGGTAAGTTCAGTCTTTAGTCTGCTTGAAATTTCATATTTTTTTAGACCCAAATACAGCTTAGTTACTAAACTCGATAAATTATAATAGAATTCTATGGTATTGATATAGTAATTTATGATTTTTTTGGTTATTTCAAATGTATATATAAAACCTAAAAAAAATTATTTCGTTTCACATGCTCCACGTGTGAAATTTTATAAGGCTTAGCAACATACAAAAAACAGCAAACTAGTACAGAGGTCATAACTAGAAGATATAATTGTTTGCCATACATATTTATTTACAGTTCTATGTTTAAAAACAACAACTTATTTTTAAATAGTAATAATGTATATACATATATAATGTATGATAATTGAAATGTGACAGTATTTTACAAAATACTAGTCTACTAAAACACAGCCAAGACAGATCATTTTGTAAAGGTCAGTCTTATATTACTGGACACAGTAACATGAGTGCACGTACTCCGTGTCATTGTAGCTTCTGTGATATTAGCCAGGCACAGCTGAAAGGTCAAAATAATGACTATATATATAAATGTATAACGTTATGACATTTAAGCTATTTAGACCAAACAGTTGTGTTTTTGAGTTATAATTTGTATTCATTCTAGAATGAAAAAAGCATAATTTTTATTTATTTCCTAATTTTTCATGGTTCTTACAAGATTGGTCAAATCTACCAAATCCATATAGAGATTTGATAGTGACAATAACAGATAAAATATAGATTTTGTCTTTAGAAAATTTTGCATGTGAAATTTGAAAATTTTCTGATGCATAAAAGTATTTTTAATTTTAAAATGAAAATTACTTTGCATGTTGGATAGGCAACATGTGAAATGGAAAAAAGCATCAGAAAACATTACTTAAAAACCTTAAGACTTAAAAAAAAATCTTATATTTTGTGTATGAAAGCCTTGTAATGTTTACTGATAATCTGTCAAATTTCGTGAACATATGCTTATTAATTTAAAAGTTATAGCATGAAAACTATAACAAGCAGAAAATGGTTACAAGACCAGTCCCAGGTACCAAGCTCATGCTGAAAGAATTAAGAGCATCATGACCAGGTTTGAATAACAGTGAAGGGAAGACAATAGACATATTACCAGTTAATTAAAACACTACAAGTAGTAATTAATGATGTTAAATCATCAAATGTAAAGTTTATGGTTGATTTAACAATATGATAGAGGGATTGTCCCCACTTGCCTAAATCTTTGGCAGAACACTGAATATCACAGAGGATATCTGCCAATAACCAGTTCAACTCACCACTGTCAGAAAGGATGTCTCACAATGATCAGGCAAACTTAACACTGTTGCAAAGGAGGTCTGACAACAGCCATACAAGTTTATTACTATCACAACAGACATGTAACCAGCATCATAAAAGGATGAAATAGTTGTTTCTCTGGAATTCTTTAAAAGTACATCAACATCTTTGATAGATTGTTTAGGCAGAGTATTCATGAATGGTAACTGCCTGTTGTAGAATCATTTTGGCATTAACACAATAAAAACCTTCACTAAACAGAGATTCTGGATTATAGGTGAGTAACCCGTGGCTACTATTGGTTGAATCTACAGGGAGTCTCTACACCAATCAGAAATAGGGATAATCCAACCAATCGTAACATGTCTTCCACAATCCACCAGAATACTATAAAGACCAACAACACCACACACACGCTGACCTGAAGACGAAAGGCAGAAGACTTTCAAAACATCATCCTCTCCACTTATGTTTCTATAACAGGCAGTTGCCGTCCATTCAACTAAGTTTCACAGTACATCAATATCAACTGCATCTGATACACACAAGTCAATAAAAACTTTTTAACAACAACAATAAAAACACTGAAACATTTCTAGATAAGTTATCTTTACATCAAGTTTAAAATGCTTCACCATAGCTCTCTGTTGGCTAAATGATAAACATATGTTTGTATTGGTGTTAAACATTGGAGTGACACAAAAAAGTGCA